TAGGGAAAGCTATGGAAAAGATCACCCTTCTGAGATCATTGAGGGAAAAGTGCTGTCAATCCAGCCCATTAGTAAGACGCATTGCAAACATAAATAAGCTGTGAGAAAGATGTGGAATAGAATGATTGCAGTAATGCAGATTTCTCTGTGTCCCTTTCTTCAGCTTGAAAAGCCTGAAGATGATCTTACCCAGTACAGTGGCGAACTCCTTGTGTCTGCAAGACTGTCAGTACCAGCCCAGTATAAAAATTTCCAGTTTGAAGGTATAAAATGTTTCAGCATACCTGAATCCCTTGGCTAGAAAAGAATTGAGATTAATGAAGGACTGACAATGTGTCCATATAATATTCCTGTATGGGGTTTATAGCAGCTATTGCAAATGGCAGTTTATGGTGTATTATATTTTACATTAACTAAAATCCAAACATTTGCCAACTTCATCTTTTTGTTCTTTTTAATGCCAGCAAAGGCTGTATATTATAATGGCAGCAGTACAATACATCCACCTGTTTGGCAAGCTTGTTTCTGTTGTGGTGTTGCAAGTAGACCTTATTCTGCAGGTGATGCAGCAATTTTACTGCCTGAGGTAGAGCCTCCCAATTTAGGGAAAAGGTGGAAGGGAGATGGCTACGAGGGTACCTGACCAGCACCCTTGGCCTCCTCTCCATTTTAGAGAGATTGTTGTTTCACTTGGAAGATGTTAGGTTCAAAATGTAAAGTCAGGATTTAGTTTTTGGTAATGAAGGACTTGTAAGGTACATTAAGTATTGCTGTAGTGTGTCAGAGCAAGCACCTGCTGGAGGGGTAAACACTTTGGGGAGGAGGGATAGGACAATCTCATTTTCCTTACCTCTCTAGGTCATGGTGAGGTATATAGAGGTTCAGAGCTCTAGTAATGCTCTCTGTGTTCAGGACCATAGCAACAGGTAGATGTCAATAGGAAGATCTAATTAGCTGTTAGGTTAATTTTTCTTCCCTTTTCTTTTCAAAAGGACCCTAAAGTTACCAACTTACTTTCTTCCATTTTTCCTCCCTATGCATGCCTGTGTATTGGGTCTCTGCTGTATAACTAGAGCTGTAACAGAGGACTGGTATCAATCACACTGTGAGTTTGGCTGTTTCTCCTACTTCTGGCTTTGTTTCAGAGGAACGCTTCTGTGGGTCCTGCCCTGTGTTTACTTTTCACAAATACAACAGAAAGCTCCATGTTTGGAACAGGAATCACAAAGCAACCTGCTACTCATTGCTTGCTTTTTTTGTGTGTGTGAATCACACACTGTACAAGCAGGTTACAAATCTTTCAAATGATCCTAATGCAGCACTATGAGACCTTATCTCAGTAGTACCACCTAGACATTTTCCTACTTGCTTATAGCAGCATCTTAAGCTGAGCTAACTGGTTATTTCATGTGATAAATACTTCTGTTTCAGGAAAAAAAGACCAAGGAGTTCCCAACTGCCAGCTTCAGGTTATGATATTTGGGGCCAAGAACTTGCCTATGCTGAGATCTGTTGGAATGCTGAACTCATTTGTTAAAGGGTATGTATGACACCTAATACTTCAAATAGAAAATGTCAGACACATTCTGTGCAAATGTGTGTATTAACATGTTTTCGTCAAGAGACTGGCATGTGAAAGTGGCATTGTCCACACTCTTAGTCAGACTTCCTTGTAATGGTGACATTTGGGTGTCTGCACAACAGTGGCACTCAGCAGGGTGGTGACGAGTTCTACTTGCTCTTTCAGTCCTGAATGGAACTTCAGAATTTATTGATGTCGTTAAAATATGGAGTTCACTAGTTTAAAAGTATCTGCTTTTAGATATTAGGGGACAAAAAAAAAAAGTGCAAATCAAGAGGGTATTTTCATTCCTGTTTTCATCTGTGGCTTTGCAGAATTAAATATAGCTTTGGCTACATTGAACAGGAAACTTTTAGCCTCTTCATTCTAGACATTTTTAAAAGAGGAGGGACTGAATTTTTCTTCAAAGCACTGAGCAGCTTGTATGTGAGATCAAGTTACTTTCTTACTGTCAGGCATCAGATGCATTGGAAGTATGATACTGGGGTACATCTCGTAAAGCCATTTCATCTGCTATAATAGCACCTATCTTCAGTGAAGTGGGCAAGCATTTTATCTACTGAAAGGCAAGTTTCAACTCAACGGGGAGTACAGACTCCTTAAGCAGGAGACAGCAAAGGAAAAGCAGACCACAAGAGCCTACTTGCACCCACACTGAAGGCAGACAGGAAAAGGAGCAAGTCCCAAAATAAACACACTAAGCACCATGTTCTACTTTGCACTTGAGCTGAACATTTTCACTGTTCAAGGCAAACCAAAGGGCCCTAGTTGATTATTGCAAATGTTCTGTTTTCTGGTTGAGAAATCAGTAACCTTGCTAAACTCTCATTGTTTTTGGGAAGTTGCCTTATCCTTCCAGACCAAGCGGAGGTAAAGCGAAAGTCTCCTGTCCTGAAGAAAGAAGCCTGTCCCCAGTGGAAACACTTGTTTGTCTTTGATGGTGTTACCCCAGCTCAGCTAGAGCAATCATGTCTACACTTGACTGTCTGGGACCAGTCAACTTTCAGCTCAAGCGATCAGTTCCTAGGAGGAGCCAAGCTTGGTGCAAGTAAGTTCTTTCTCACTAAAAATTGAAGGTAATTTGGGGGAAAGTTCACTTTTAGTTTACATTCTAAATAATAATATTTACACTGTGCTATTTATTACCTGCTGTCATGTGCCTACACATACAGCCTCAGCCCCTGTCCTAAGCAACTTGAGCTGTGATCCTGCAAGAAATGATGCATGTGCTTTATTTAGTTCAGGTCTGTGCAGAAGCTCAAGGTTGTCAGAGGAAATTCTCAGGAAAGCCATTTGTTAGTGTGGTAGCTTTTAGGGTCAGAGCCTGGCCATGCAGAAGACAGGCACAGAAAAGTTGGGTAGAGTTAACTCAGCTAGAGCTCTGTATTTTTTTTTTTTTTTAAGACTTGTTCCTTGAGTTGTTTTCTATGAATTAGCTAATTTCAAATACTATCTCATCAAAAGGAAGCACAGGAACTAAAGATCTAGTAGAGTCCAACCTTACTTATAATTGTGCTTATTATTTTACATCCACAAATCAAGCCAATCAATGGGAGATACAGAAAGTGAAATGTGCTCAGAAGGGGCTATTGCATGTCTGAGTTTTGGGCTCTCTTCTAACAGGAGTGAGCTCTGTTTCTCAAGGCTGAGAAATTTCTGAGAAACCCTCCGCTCACTGAATAGGCCCTGTTTAACTGGTCATTGGGCAGGGAAGCATTGTCACTTGAAGACTGCCCAATGGAGTCTCTCACTCCTGTCTTCCCAGAGAGCAAGTGCTTTCATTTCAGTATTTGAGGTGAAAGGCTCAAAAAGACTGAGGCTCAGTCACTTTGTTATGGTATCAACATGCACTTTAGAGGTGTATTATCCCTAGTAATAACTCATTGCTGTGCAGGCTTCCTCCTGAAACTTCTTTTAATTGTCCTACCCAGCACCTTTCTTTCTGTAGAGCAGAAACTACCTGCTGCTGAGTGTAGAAGACTGTCCAAGCCCTAAGCCTAGTCTGGCCTGGACTAGATGATCTGCAGAGGTTCCTTCCAACCCCTACCATTCTGTAATGTGTTAAAGTCACTGGAAGTGAACTGAAGCAGGTGGCTTTGTGCCATTCCACTCTTTTTAGGATGCACACTTTCTCCTCTATGTCATACAACCAAAAAATTGTTCTCGGCTGCAAGCTGAGGGGGAACAATCCTAGTTTAACAGGATCTAAATAATGCTTCAGAAGTGTAACTACAATTTGTTGCAATTAATGCCTTAGGTGCTATAAAGCAGCTGAAACTGCTATAGAAGTGGGAGAAGCAGGTTGGTTGTTACCTAGTCAGTTGAGTAAGGCTGAGTGAAAAACAATTCTGTGACCTTTCCTTTTGCTTTCTTGCAGAGAAATCACTTGACTGTACAGATCTTCTTTCTCAGTCAGTGCTCCAATGGCAGGAAGTGCTCCACAGCCCAAACATGTGGGTGGACTTTACACTTGTATTGCATTCAAATAAGGAAAACTTTAAATCATGAGATTACTGCACAACAATTTTTCCTCCCTCATATGTGATGTTTTAAATTCAAGTGGCACATACCTTTCAGGTCTGAGGAAAGGCATGCTATTACAGTACCTACTCCAGCTTTTGGGGAATAAAGTTATGCATTTGAAAGTATGTGATGTTCTGAAGGTTTTATTTCTCCAGAAGTTAAGGCTTTGTTATCTGTGTCTCCAGTGAGTTTAAAGTTAGTATGGTTTCTTCTCAAGTGACAAAGTTTGAAATGCATTATGCTGACAAGGCAACAGTAGCCAGATGATATTTCCATTTCTGGGCACAGCAGAACTAATTATTTAATTTAATCCCAGATAGGAATACTTCATAGAAAAAAAAAACCCTGTTACATTAAGAAAGGTATATGATTTCATTCTGATCTTGATGTTTCATACATGTTTGGAGAGAACTGAAGACTAGCTTCTCTTCACCTGCTTGCTGCAGATGGGTGATGCTAACACCTTTGTGCTTCAGAATTCTCTACAATGCCAGCGTTACTTTGCACAACCCTAAAAAGTTTTGGCCTGTGGCCACACGCCTCTCAAATGTGTGTTGTATCATGGTGCTTAAAACCAGGTAACTGTATAAATTCTCCCTCAGCAGGGGTGTGGGATAACACCTAATGGAATAAGCGTGGTCATAGGAAGTTCCTTGTTCTTATCAGCTGCCAGACAGCATTAACAAGTCTGCTCCATATGGTGTACAGCACAGAAGAGTTTAGCTAAACTTATCATTTATTCATGAGAACTGGCAGAAATGCAGTTTTTACTACTGTATCACTTTGCCTCAGACCTAGTGTTAGTCAGCAGAAACTACCTATACAACTCTAACTAGTGCTGCTGCTATATACTTCTTCCCTGGGACTCAGGTGAAAATGGTCATATGTCCTCATTACAGCAAGTATTCTCCTTGCTTCCTTTCCAGGTCAATGTGGCTTTTAAGGACTTAAGAGTTAAAGACACAGAGATTCATATGCTAAGCTCAGGAACTAAAAGAACAGTAGCAACACCTTACACAAAATACACCCCACACAAGAAACACTTGACTCCAAGTCCTTTGTTACTTTGCAGATCTTTTATTTAGATGTTTACTGCTGCAAATAAAAAAAAAAAACCACACAAGATTCAACTCAAGTATAAAGCAGCATAGATGTTGTGAGTGGAAGAGAAGAACTGACAACATACTGTATCTCACTTTCTAACAGATTTTCAAGGAAAGGGGGAGATTAGTGGGGAAGGAATGGTCACAAATGCTCTCTAGTAGAGAGGATACAACTGTGATATAAACAAGCAGTCCCTTCATCTTTGGAGTCTGAAACTTTAAATCAAACATTTAAAAAAATTAGAAAATTTGTTAGAAAAATAGGTGCAGTAAAATTGTATATATTGGATCGTGTACATATAATAGTTCTCATTAAGTAAAAAAATGATCTTTACAAATAATGCTTTATAGCAAATAATCAGCTGCACTGTGTCAGACTACAGTGTCATTTAGGCATTTTTACAGATGCGAGTCTTATTAAATCTGAAAAGTAACAAAATATACAGAGCAAAACTATTTCCCTTTAAACTAGTATTGCAATCCATGTATTGCATGGTTTTTATATATATATATAAATACTACACTATAACTGATCAGTAGTGAAGCTGGAACGCAAACACAGTAGTGTATTAGATTCCAAGGGAGTATTTGCCTAGTTGTTACATGAGGAGGGTGTCAGTGTCCCTGTGCCACACTTCTGTGCCATCACTGCAGAATTTCTCCAGTTGAGAACAGCAACCAGAAAAAGCCTAATTTCTGCACAAAGGAGTTCTGAGGTGGTGTCAGTTTTTTGGTGCAGGGGGTGTGTGGGGGTGGTAGGAAGAACATGGGCATCAAGACCAAGGAAAAGAACAGGGGGTGCAGACACACATGCATGTGTGTACACACACACACGTGCTCACAAATCCAGAGTTCTACAACCCATCATCTCAACTCTAACTAATAATACAAAGACATATGGCACAAAATTCACCCACAGTTGCTTATTTTTAGACCAAGCTGAATCCAGCACCTGCACGAGACATGTCTTCAACTAGAAGCACAGCCTATTAAAATTTGTCTTGCTTAAAGAGAAATGTGACATAAGGCCTTTTGGCACTAAGCAAAGGCATGAGCAAGTTACCAGGATCAGTGGTACGATGAGTCTGTAACTATACCAAATTTAATAGAAGGTATGGAATAAAAGGGAGATCCAAACACCTCTGGATTTAGAGAACTTTTGTTAAATGTCATACAGTGACCCCTCCTCAGAAAAAAACCCCAACAAACCCAAACAAAAAACCCGCAACAAAAAAAACCCAAAACAAGAACACAGCATTAAGATCTGCCTTTCCCACAGTCCTGCCTTCTTGTTACAAGCGTCATTACATCGCCTCAAACTCATCAATTCTCTGCTTGGTGTTGCCTTGCCGGATCTGCCGCAGCGTCTTGTACTTATCACGTCCCTGTCGCATGTTCTCTGAGTGGATAATATCATTGTGGGTCCTCTTATTTTCATCTCTAGCCTGGGCCAGCTCATCTGTCAGCGCCTGCGATATAAAGGATGTGAAATACAGATTACACACAAGAAGCTGGCAGCTTATGACAGTAGTGATCTTTGGTGAGAGTTGACAGTTGTTGGATGGCTGGATAGATCAGTGACATGGATAGAACATACGCTTTCCATAAACACAATGGAAGATGTAAGTGATCTCAAAGCCTGAGCAATGAGAGTAATCTTTATATGTCTTATCTTTACTTCACACTCCCTATAGGAACTGTAAATTTAAAGAAACTATTGTGCTTTGTGTACTTAATCAAGTGGTTAAACAATGTATTTTCAAGGAATGATTGTTTCAATTACTCTGCCTCCTCCAAACATTGCCTTACCCTCAGTTGCCTCTGTACACGTTCATTCTTCTCTGCTTCAGTAATGCGTTTCTCCTCATTGCGGTCATTCCTGATCCCCTCACTGGAGAACTCTGCGCTGTAGGCAGAGTACTCTGATCCTTCATCTTGCAGGTGATCCTGGACATGGTAGCTCACTGGCTCATAGACAGGCGGTGGAGGTGGAGGCGGAGCAGTCATTACCAGGTGTAGCTCCTCCTTTGTCTTTACCAGATCCTCCTGGGCTTCCCTGGCCTTTGGGAAAAGAATGAAAAATATTTTAATGCATTTCTTGCTTTAAACCAGCTTAATGAACACTTCAATGCTTATCTTCCCAGTTTTGTCAATTTACTATGAAAAGCAAAAAAAGAGGGAATTAAATCTCTGCAGCTGACAGTACTGTTACAGTCTTACGCAGAATGTCTTTTTTTTTGGCTAGTGATGCTATCATCATCCACTGTGTAATGCACAGGGGATCTTAACAAAGAATCTTCTTCCAATAAAACACAGCCTAGGAAAAACAGTTCTGTGGGACATTACAGTTATCTTCATCCTGTTCTCCATGTGAAGAGCTGTAGGATGTAAGTACGGGTTCCACAAGATTCCCGAGTTGGCATTTTTAATGCCATCACACACTAGGCAGTCAGCTTCCTTGCTGCTTCTGTAGTTCTGCCCTCCCATGGGGTCTGCAGGACTAGCTGCAGGGCACCAGGAGCACCAGGCACTCCGAGCCTTGTGTAGTTTATTTTTGGGTTTAGTTCATCAAATTATTCAGCTCTCCCAACCCAGGTAACAGGAAGCCACTAACAACAGCACACGCTCCTCAAGACTGGTACCTGCAGCGCGGCTGCATCTGCAGCATCTTCTCTTGATGTTTTCAGACATTACATCATGGACTAAATGCATCATTTATACATGCGCCCCTTCCCCTCCATGGCTCCAAGATGATAAGCACATTTTTAAGTTTTACACAGGCTTCCATTTTGAATTTTGACAGAAGGCTTGTTGGAAGAAAGATGTTTTGCAGGCATGTTGCATGTTTGTCACAAGTCTGCCCTTCTCTGCTGGTGTGCAGATGTTTGCCTCCACACGTTTAGAGAAGTCATACCAGGCTAAGCAGTGTGGTATGCTCTGCTCAAGTGTAGAACTTCAACTTTGCAAACCCCAGATACTCACTCTGATTTGCCACTCTTCAACCTCACTCTCTTTACGCCTCCTTGCCTCTTCAAGAAGTGCAATCTTGGCTGTATACTCTGCAAGCTCTGTAGCCTATTGAATAATAAAACTGGAATTATAAGGACTCTTAAAAAACCTAAACAAACAAAAACCCAACCCAACAACGAAACACTGTTGACTGAGAAAAGACCCAAGTGTTACACTCCACTGTAATAAAGACTGAATAGGAAATTAAGAACAAAAAGTAGATTGCTCATGACAGAAACCAGTGCCACAATGATGCTATCACATGGCCTACTACTTCACTGCACTCTGGTTTTCCCCGGAGAACAAGGCTTTGCCTTACTCAAAGGGTGCAGTAACACGCCTGTATCCTGTCCTCAAAATGACTGGGTCTTACCAGCTGTTCTTGGCTCTTTATCTGGTCCAGAGTTTGTCTCTCCAGCTCTTCCTTGGCCTGTAGAGCAGCCAAGCGATCAGCTTCCAAGCGTTCTGCTTCCACCTGGGCTCGTCTCCTTTCTTCCTCCAGCTGAATGGCTCGTTGGATCTGATCTGAGAGCTCTGGAAAAACACAGATCAATGTGGTTAGTGCACAAGCCTAGTCAAAGTGAAGAGACTACAGATGGTCTCTTAGGTAACTGCAGAAGTCATGACAAGCACTTGACTCCAGCTTGCAATACCCCCTCACTGTGCACCTCAGAGTAATTATTGGCATAATACATCAAGTAACTGAATTCAGAGGTAGTCAACTGCACATTATAACTGAATCTTCTGCAAGATATTTGCACTGAAGTCTGTAGCACTGACATGATTCTGCTGCCCTTAACGGACAGTTTCCTGCAAGGACCAGATGTTGCTGTTTCTAATCTGCTCATCTGCGTATTGAAACAGAAGCTTCCATTTCACTGGAGAGACTTGTTCCTAAAGTATTTTTTCTGTCAGAGTTAAGTAAAAAGTACTCGAGAGCCGAACTCTGTTACTCACTGCTAGAAGAGGCTATAATACTAAACCCCTCTTGGCAACAGGAGAAAACCGAGTTCATGTGACCTTCAATTCCCAAATGCAATCAGCAGATTTTTATGCCACTTTTATGCCTTGGATGACCTCAGCAGCACAAGCACATTTGTGTATTTATCCGTATAGGTAGATACTAGTAAGCCTTGCCAAAGGATCCCAGCGTCACTAGATTTAGGCGAGGCATAGGCAGCAACCCACATAAGCCTTCCATGGAGCACAACACATGTGATCTGGTCAGCCAGTCCAAGTACTTTACCTTTCTCTGCTTTCTGAGTCTTCACCTCATACTCTTGTAGCCTCACCAGCAGCTCTTCCTTCTCCCTCAACATTTGCTCTTTCTCCCTCTCAATTGTCTCCCTCTTCTTCTTTTCATTTTCTAGTTGTTGCCTGTTAGAAACAGATTTCATGCTTGAAGCTCGCTTTCAGACCTAAGCTACAGCAAGGCAAGAAAGTTGGCCAGGCATCTCTCCAGGCAGCTCAATGAGAAGTGACTGCCACAAAGCAAGAGCCAGAAGACAGAAATACATACAGCCTGTTCCTTCATCACATCAGAATTTTTGCTCAGTTTTGGATACCCCATTTCATAAAAACATTTGTATTTTTGTTGCCCGCCACAGAAATTTAGAACACTAAATAGCTACTAGATGCAGAAAGAGAAAACCAGGATTCTGTACTGCACAGCAGAAGAGATTTAAGTTTGTTACTTCTGTCTTAAGGAGAGTCAAGGAGGTGTAAAAATAAGAGCACCGAGGGAATGAAGACAAACAAGCCACAAATACAGGAGAAAAGCAACAAGATTTCTTGACTCATAAGCAACCTGCAGCCGGTGGAATCACCAATCCTTTTTCCTTGCCTGTAAGAGGTCTCCCCGTCCCCTCTTCTCTCTTCGTAGTGTACACACGTGCTCCCTGTGAAGGTTTCTCCCATACTCCCAACCATCCCACGGTCCAACACATAAATCAGGTCCCAACACTCAAGAGCCAGGAGAAGCCCTCTCTAGGTGTGCGTCACCACGCAAGAGCCCACTGCGCCTTTACATGCACACTTCCTCGCAGCTCTTAAGACCGCAAACAGGACAACAGACTACGTGGCCACAGGTCCGAGCCAAAAGAGTTAACACTTACGGTCCTGCTGCAGGACTTCCCGAGTCCAACCCCGTAAGCCAGCGCTCTAGGGTCACACAGAGGCCTTACAAATGTGGGATGGCTCATCTTCCCTGCTCTCCATACTCAAGCAGCTCACCTTTCCAGTTGTTTCTGGTGCTTCTCCTCCCGGGCCTGGGCTTTCATCTGTTGCACCTCAATGGTGTCGGGCTTCCTGCGCCGCATATACAGTTCATGGTTGCCCATGCAGAGCTGCAGGATCCTCTTGTTAATTCTCAGACGAGGGGCGTAAAACACAAAGTCCTGGAAGAGAGACACCGCACAGTCAGTTTTTTCAAGCAGGCTTTCTCTTCTGCCAGCTAGCTGCATGCAGATCATCTTGCCATGAGCAATTTAAATATAGCGGCAGGGACTGCCGATATCATCTATGGCAAAAACAATTGTTATTTATATTATCCATTTCAAGTCTAAATAGACCTGACAAATTACTCTGTTAGTTTTCTCTAAAAGATACTTTTTCTAGAAATCTCAAATATCTCCAGCTACAAGAAACTCTGTGGAGTTTGGAAACGTTGTAGAAGATTCTGGTTTGGCAGGCAACTATCTGGGCAACTCATAGACCTCTAGTATCAAGTAATTAGTTTCTAAGTTTGCATGGTTTTGTGACTGAAATATAAAGCATGAAACTAAAAATCTGTTGCAGACAATTAAAGTAACTTTGTAGAACTGCCTGACCTATTTGAATCAATATTCAAGACACCATCTGTGTTTATTCAGAGAAACAGAAGAAATGCCTTCCAATATCATTCTTTCCTCTCCATGGCATTTCCTAGTTAGGTTGACCTACGCTGGTACAAGAGTGTCAAATGAAAGCTGCTTTTTTTTTTTTTTTTTAACTGGTAAACATATGGGTTATTTTGAATATTGGGTTGCAGGCAGTAACAAAACACAAGAGATTCTAAAATTTCTGGTTCTGCAAAAGGAACAGCCCCACATTTCTTATTATCTGTGTTATAACCAGGCTTTTACAGAAACTATACACCAGACTGGATCTTCTAGAAGTAAATCTGCTCAGAAAGGGATACAGAAGGCCAAGTTCATTACCTGCCTGATGATTTTTCTGAGTTCACAACCATACATGTTTACAATGCAGTCTGAACTTACACAGGGAACAAACTCTGCATCTTTGTACCTTTTTTTTGTGTACTGTGTGGATGGTGATACAGGCAGTGGGCAAGCTGCCACATTACCAGCAAAAACTAGTACCCACTCCTTAGAATGGCTCTCCTATGGATTGCCTTACTGTTAGCAAGAGCTGGAACTGAGAAGGGGTATACAGAGGCTCTACACTTTTGCATGGACATGCTGGCAAAGACTTGTTTTCTTCACTGCATTTTCCTAATTCATATTCTGACTGGAAGAGACACGGTCAGCACGGTGCATTGCGCTCCCCACTAAGCCCTGCCAGAGCCATTCTGAGCTGCACAGGTCTGATACTGCTCACCATGCCTGTAAGCCATCCATCCGACCTCCCACTTCTCACGAGTAATTTTAAAAACAAACAGTTTATGTACATTGTGATGAGTAGGTCCTATCTTGAGGCAAGGTTCACCTACATGGAAGTAAATACTGAGGCCATGGACGACGGTTGTGTTTCTCATTTACAGCCATAACCAAGGGATAGAACATTCACGTAAGAACACAAAAGAATTCCCACACACACCCTTTCCTCGCCCCCAGCTTCCCCCTGGTCTCACGCAACCGGGGGCATAGCAGCTTGATATTTGAAAGATAATGTGCTGAAGATGTTGGAGTATGTGGGCAGACAGCCCTAAAAATTAAAGTTTATTCTGGGCAAGGTGCCACAGGACTCTACCCATTACATTGGTGTCCATTTAAACACTGACAAGGAGAACCCTCCAAATGAAAGGGGAGCTTCCGACCCTCATCTTGGGTGGACTGGATATTTTGCTTTAGTTGTAATACTTGTCTTTTTAAAAGGAGACACAAGTGTATGAAAAGATCCAGACAGCTTCCTGAATGCTCAGAATTAGTGTCCAGATTAACACTTCTGTCAGGCATAGCTTTAAACATAACACCACCCAGAGGGAAAAGGACAATTGAGACAGAGGGAGGAAACATATCAATATTAACATCTTTCTGTATCAGCCTCTTGCAAGTCTCCCATTTCAAACTCAGTCAGATTTACTGATGGGGAGTGGATGGAAAGCTGTAATCCATAAACAGGAGATTAATCATTTTGTAATGTGTACAGCACATCCAAGAGACTCTTGAGAAAAGTATGCCTGACCAACCAGCTTTCTCTCTTTGTGGAGTTTTGTTGATTTTCATTAACAGCATGACAAAAAGAAGCTCCTCTCCCCCTAAACTCCAGGTTGTTAATCTGGAGAAAAGCCCTGCAGCACACTATGTGTTAGTGTCCTTTAAACCACTGGGAGGATCTTTTTCCCTTAGAGAGAGAAGCCATCACCCTTTGCCAAAGCCAAACTGCTAATTACTTCTGAGGGCTGTGCTTACTCACCAAGGCCAAGTACTGGGGTGGGGGAAGAGAAGAACAGAAGTCCTTTCTCAACTATTCAAAAGTTTCTCAAGACTGACAGAATGAGATCCACATATACCAGTTAATTCCACTTTCTGTTCTCAACATGTCAAAGTTAGTTGCTAATTCTTCACTAAAATAACTCTGAAAACATGTTTGTAAGTATTGAAAAGCAACATTCACAGGTAGCTACATTTCAGTTCTCCACAGAAATCATATCCTTGCCATTTACCCCAGTATTCAAGAAGGTCACTGAACACCATGGTCATTAATTGGCTTTTACCCTTTCAGTAGTGTGGAAGTGAGCATTAAGATGGGAAGCCGTGTGTATCCATGTGGCTTTGCAGGAGTATTTGAATGTTTATTAAAATACTCTCACAAAAATCAACAACAAAGTTACCCACCACCTTCCATGCACTGAAAGAAATAGGGAGAGGACTAGTCTCAGTATAATCTGGTCACATAGAAGACTCACAGAACTAGCAAAGAACCTCAGATTTAAGCATAAGGCTACCTAGTTTGCTGG